TATGAGTATAAAAAAGGAAGAAAAAGAAGTCAAGTAGAAGAAATCTACCTCAATGAACCTAATTTAGAGGGGGAATTGGATTTGGGGGATTTTACTTATGAATATGGTGTAAAAGTATATATTTCCCCAGCAGCAGATGAAACCAAACTAATTTTTAAAAACTTACCTGAAAAGGCTAAGATTAGTTTGGTAAATGCTGAAAGGGATATTAACTATCACTATCCTACTAAAGAAGCAAGAGAAAAAGTAACTAAATTAGATATTAGAAAAAAAAACCTCGAAGGAAATCTTGATCTCTCGGATTTTATTAATTTAAAAGAATTAAGATGTTCTAATAATAAACTAACCTCCCTCAATTTGAGTAATTGCTCTCAGTTAGAGAAATTAACTTGTTATGATAATCAACTAGCCAATCTCACTTTACCTAATAATCCTACTAATTTAAAATATTTAGATTTAAGTAATAATAACTTTTCCAGCGACTTATCTTTTTTAACTGGGACGGTTAATTTAGAAGAACTTTATTTATGAAACAACAATTTCACTGGTTCTTTAGATTTTTTAAGTAACCTGAAGCAATTAAAAAAACTTGATATTAGCAACACGGATCTAAATGAAGTAAATATCGAGCAATTACCCAGGAGTTTAGCGTGAATTAGATACTCTACTGATAAAAGACCAGATTGTCAATTAACTGAAATTATTTCCCAATTAGAAAAACACTTTGGTAATTTTGGTCGTTGTCCAAAATGCTACCAACCTAATACTAGTGAAAACTGATGCCAATCTTGTAATGCTAAATATTTTCAGCAAGGACTTGAAATTAATTCAGAAGTTGGTAAATTAATTCAAGAATATTATTCTAAAACAACTAGTCACCGACAAGCATTAGAACTAATACCTTATAAAGAACTAGAAATTGAAAAAGATGAACAGGGAAATAATAAAGTTTTAGGCGAAGGAGGCTTTGGAAAAGTATACAAAGCAAAATGGAGAAAAGATAATAAAACTAAATCAATTGTTCTCAAAACTCTCCATAACTCCCAAAATATAACCCCCGAGTTCTTACAAGAAATCATTAATCACAAGTTATTTTACAAAGATGATAGAATTGTTAAATGTCATGGCATTTCCCAAGACCCAGAAACTAATGAGCATATGATGGTTATGGACTATATCAAAAATAGTGATTTACGACATTATTTAGAAAATAATCAATTGGATTTTAAAAATAAATTAGACCAATTGTGGAAAATAGCAATGGGACTAAGAGTTATTCATGACCAAAACTTAGTTCATCATGATTTTCACGCTGGTAATATATTGAATAAAAGCAATAAGATTAAGGGTGACATTAATACCGTATGCTATATTTCTGATCTAGGGTTATGTAGACCTGCCAATGAACAAGATAGCGAAAAAATTTATGGACAAATGCCGTATATAGCCCCTGAGGTTCTAAATGGAAAACCTTATACTCAAGCTTCAGATATTTACTCTTTCGGAATAGTGGCTTATGAACTCTTGGCTAATACTTATCCTTATCATGGATATGAACATGATACAAATCTAGCATTATCAATAATATGCGAAGGACTAAGACCTAACCTAAATAAATTAAAAATACCCCCATTATTAAAAGATTTAATTGAAAAATGTTGATGTATTGACCCTCAGGAAAGACCATTAATCGGTGAACTAACTAAATCTTTGAATAGTTTTAAGAACAAATGAGATACTCAATTTGTTCAACAACTTCAGGCAGTAGAAGAAGAATACAACGCTTTCTCCAAAAGCACTCCTTATAAAATTCTCAATAACTTAATTCCAACTAGTAAACTGATAGATACTAAAAAAATCAGTGAACTAATATCCAGTAGAATGTCCAGTTTAAATTTAGCCAACTATGACTCTACAGAATTAAACATTGATATTGATATAGAAATTCCAAAATCTAACGAAATACCTAAAAGGTTGAGGTCAATGTCAATGGAAGAAGCCCATCAAAAAGAAACCAAATCAGTTAAATTAGATAAAATAACGGAAGAAAAAGAATTTCAACTTGAACCAATGGAAATAGATGAAAATATTCAGAACAGAAATTGAATTAACATCCATTCTTCTTTCACCCCCCAACTAATCCAATCCTGAACTAACCTAAATTTCGCTTACTCTCAAACTCAAGAGTGGGTAAATATTGGTTTGCAACCAACTGATTATAACTTCTGTGCTTGGTTAAGAGACACCAAACACCTAACTCCTGAACAAGTTCTCAACCACTTTAACGAACAAGAACTAAGACAAGAATTCTTTAACTGAGGACAAGAGCAGCAACAAACTCAAATAGAAATTCCTCCCAAATCATTAAAAGGGGAGATTAAATTCCTCCTTATCTAATAAGCATTTAACACTTGAATATTTATTAGATACTCCCCTCTTACATACTAAACCACATCACCCTAAAAAAATCTTTCCAAACTTAAGCATTTTATCTAATAAAACTTACTTATTAGTCCTAAATATAGATAGTTTTATTAAAAGCAAGATAAAAATATTAATCTATTATATGAACAATTTTGATGACCAATTACCACTAAGTGGCGAATTAAAATTCAGTCCTTATCGTGGATATTAGGTTGGAACTGATGTGTCTAAACTTTCAGCCACTGAAATTATGATAATAGGATTAGTGGTAGCAGGAATTGGCTTTTATTATTGACAGAAGTCTAGCCAAAAAACCAAGTAAAGAAAGTAAATTGCTAATTAAAGACTACCACTATAAATATAGTTACGAAGGATATTTCTTTTTTTTAAATCAGTAATAGTTTGTCAGTAAACTGGTTTATCGTAGTAAAGTCTTTTTAAGCAGTTATCACAAATTTGCTGATTGTTTTTGTTTCCCGTTCAGTAAGTTCAACTGTTCTTTTGACTGTAATCTTTATGAGGAACTACAAATTTAATAAAAAATTCCTTGGAACACTGAAAGCACTTTACTTTTAAGGGTTTAGGGAAGCCATTAGGACTTATTTTAGGTTTAGGCATCAGAGTATAATATTATTTTACCCTTTAACTTAATTACTTAAAATAAAACAAGTTGGTTTTTGGCAACTATCACAAGTCTCTAAATAGTCAAGTTTTTGACAATGACGGCACAACTCTTTCATATTTTTTTTATGAGATTATAGTTCTTATTTATAAAAAAAACAAATCAAAGTTTTAAAAACGGTAGTATTCATCACTTAAAAAAACCTCTCTAATTCAATCTTGCTCTAAATATTTTACTAACCGTTTTAATTCATTATCTTGAACTAACTGTTTAATTTGGATGTAATGGCGGTGAAATTGTGCTAATTTATCTTTAATTTCATCTATTTTTTTTTCTCAGAGAATACTCTGGTTCATGAGATTTCTTATTCGTGCTTGTTTATCTTGCTTAGAACGAAGTATTTTAGTTTTTAGGGTTTGTCAAGTAGTTAATAATTCTGGAGGGGTAGTCATAGATTATTGTTTTTTTATTATTATTTACCTAATCCTTAATTACCTTTTAAAATTAATAATATAATAATCTAAGTCAAAATATACTTTATAATAATCTCTTTTGTCTTTATGAATAATAGTAATATCTTGTATACACTTTAGACCCTTTTGTTGGAGGATGAGCCATATTTATTATAACGATAATGGTCCTCCCATTCATATTCTAACGGTTTGCCGTTTTGTTTGGGATTACTGGCTAAATGTCCTTCTACTTTACTTTTAATTTCTTGGGCGGTTGATGGGTCGGAACGCCCAATTTTTTTTAAATCCTCTTCCGCTTGTTTTTGTCAAATTACTTTAAACATTCTTGGCTCTTAATCCTTTTGGTCTTTGGTCGGCTTCCTTGGGAGTGTAATATTTTGATTCATCTTTGTTTTTCACCCGTTCTTCAAGTATTCTAATCGCTTCCATGTCCTCAATATAACTACTTAAAGCAACTATAATATGATAATCATGGGGGTATTTTTTCTCTTTAATAATCTTTTCAGTCTCTTTAATGCCCTCCATACTTTCAATATTTCTCATATACCTAATTAATGCTTCCTTGATATGATATTCTTTGGGTTTTTTGGTAATCTTTTCTAATTTGGCAAACTCTCTTTCTAGGTATTGTTCCATTTTTTCAGATAAATCGGAAAAGTTTAAAGTTATTGTAAACATAATACTATAATGTTATTTTAATTGATTTTTGAATACAATTTTAAACAAAATGTTATTTTCTCCTACTGAATGCTTGCCCTGTTTTCAATCCATATCAATTTGGTTTTGGGATTGTTGATAAATTTCCCGAATTTTTTCTCGAAGAAATTGTGGATTAGAATTCCCATTTTTGTCAAAATCAATAATATTAGAGGCTCGACCTCTATTATATACTAATTGTCAACTTCCCTTAAAAGTTGTTCGCACTTTTAGTAATTCATGATTAAACTCTTCACCACAAAATAAAAGGACTGGAGAAACTGCTTTTTCGCCTCATTTTCCTATTCACTCTCATTCTTTTTGTTCTAATAGATAACCGTTTTTTATGCTTTTGCCAAGTGCTTCTTTATATTTTTTTCTAATTTCTTCTCCTTTGCCTTGTCATTCAGGTAAATGCTGATTACGATAATACTCTTTTTCCTTTCTTTCTGCTTCATCTATTTCTTGTTTTGACTTTTTTCTTTCTTCCCTTAACCTTAATATCTCTTTTTCTAACCGAATTTTTTCTTGATTTTCGGGATTTATTTCCGGTTGTCAAGTGCTTTTTAACGCCTCTTCCATTTTTTGCCATGGCTTTCCTCGTTTTTCTGTCCTTCTATCAATTCAATTTTCCCTTTCTTCTTTTTCCTCCACCTGTTTCAATTCTCTTTCTAATATAGAAAAGGCTATTTTTCCTGGTAAAACCCAACCAATTATTAAGACCGCCAAAATAAATAACCAAGTGGTAAGACAACCATTAAGGTCAATCAGTAAATAATTAATCTCATTGAATTATGTTAATTTTTTTCTTTCAGAAAATTATTGATAATTAAAATAACTTCTTTTACCGGGTAATCAGGCAATTTTTTTCTAATGTGACCCAAAAGATAATTCCGAACTTTTTGCTGATTAGTAGCAATCATTTTGGCTAATTCGTCATTTCACAGATTTTTTAATTCTTGTTCTACCAGATTTTCATTAATATTAGCATTTTTTTCATATTTTTGCACCAGCACAGCAAAGGTTTTTTTAGTCTCTATTAATTCTTTAATTATTGCTTTTATCTCCTCATTGCCTAACTTTTTTTTCTTTCAGCAGCGAAAAAGTTCACCGTAAGATTTTCATTTTTTACTAAATAAGTCAATCTTCCCATCCCCAAAATAAGGAGTTAAGTAATTAAGATAAAAAGTTAATCAACTTTTATATTCTTCTTTTGCCAAAGATTTTTTCTTTTCTAAAAAATTAAATATTTTCAACAAAGGAGGATTTTTGAGAAGTTTATTAGCAGTTTCCAGGTCAGTTTCTTTTAATTCCTCTCAGTAATATCAAGGTAATTTAGGAATATTTTTTTTTATTCTCGTGATTTCTGAACCTTTTAACTTAATTGGGGGAATGTTAACTTCCGGCAAATAATAGTAATTGGTTTTTTCCCGGTG